TGGCATCAGAAAAATCTACCAGACCTACAGGTTGCTCCAAGCCCCATCCAACCTGGCCTGGAACACTTCCAGGGATGAGACATCAACAGCTTCTCTGACCAAATTTTCAGGCACTTTGCTGCACACATTATCTGGGGTGGAAGGTCTGGAGGGGCCAATGGGCACCAGTGACAGCCAAGCATGTGCCATGCCCACCACCAACCTTCCCCACACTGGGAAGCCAAATAATCTGGTTTTCCTCAGCCCCAGACAGAACAAGCTCAACATAAATATTCATCTGCTCAAGTGAAAGCAGGAGCCACTGCTTCCTCGAGTGGAACTAACTGAAAAGCGATGATCGTTTTCTGAAAAATGTGAGATTATGTACACACAAGAAATTACATATAAACTTATTAATAATTTAACAGCTTGTTAATGAGTGAGCTTCGGTCTTATAGCTGAGCCAACTCACCCTTTTGCTGCTGCAGGCAGCTGGGCAGGGGGAGCTCAGGAACCCAGATGCTTTTCACGTCTTAAGCGATGAGCCTGGGAGGCCACGCTCCAGGAGGGGACAGGAGAGGCCAGCTGTGGGCTGGCATCCAGCGGCGCAGCAGACCCCCTCATCTCCAGCTCCAGATGCCTGAACACTGCCTGGAATCTTCATTATATGCTTTTGAAATTCTCATTAAACATGTATAAATGGAAATTATTTTATTTTCTAATGCAAGCAAAAAATTTGCATTGATAGAAAACGGCTGTTCCTGGAGCAGCGCTGGTGTGCGGTGCAGCCAGGGCCTCGCGTCCTCAACCTCCTGCAAATGGAGTTTCTCACTTCTGCTGGAATTCCCAACATCCCAAGCACTGAGATGTGCTGTCATAGTGAACTGTTTCACTGTCAGCTGCAGGAAGGCTCAGGTCAGGTCTTGCTGTGTCTTTGAGGTGTCTCCGTGGAGGTGACAGCAATGATAAGGTGGCTTCTCCATATTGGTGTGGTGCTGCTTTCAAAAATGTTTGTCACATCATTCTGAGCCGTGCCAGTATCACGATATGCTCCTGTAAATAGGTGTTGTTTAAAGCCAGTGAGGTATTTTCACTGAAGTTGGTGGAAGATTTGTGCATAATAAATGTTAAAAGCACTAAATGCTGGGAAATGCTAACAAGAGGAGGATTGTTACCTGTGGTGAGAAGGTTGCATACATAACACCTACACAAAGATCACTTACTTGTGGGTTAATGGACATGGAACCCAAAATATTCTATATAATTGTATATGTGGGTCGCTTTCCACATTGAAAAAACCCTGCCCAGCCCCAGCCTCCGTCATGCAGCAGTGGGAAGGTGACAATGCCCAGCTGTGGAGCAGGATCAGCAGGACTGTGTGAGTGGGTGCAGCAGCTGAACTCAGCTGCAGGGGAAGCTGCTCAGATGGCAGAGACTGAGGTTTTAAATCCCCTCCTCAGAGTCTAAGCTGCTCCTTGGTGCCTTCATGCCCTTTTTTCCTACATTTCAGAGTGAAAAGGCCTTCCTATTCCTCACCAAACGAAGTCTCCAAGCCCAGGGAAAGCTGTGTTTCCCTCTGAGTCTGCATTGATTTGGTGGTAGAGAAAAAGGCAGGAATATCTCTCAGAATGAGTGACAATGGGGTGGGCTCCGGGCACACCACATCCCTGTCCTCCCACAAAGAGCACCAGCCTTTCTCCTTACGTCTCCCTGTTGGGGACATCATTTCCCCCAGATGGCAGCTGAGCTGCTCCTGCAGTTTGGGAAAAAGCAGGAGTGGGTGAGGAATGGGCAGAACTGCTGAGCAAAGCAGAGGTGAGGTGTGGGGGCATGCAGGGGGTGCAGCAGCGGGGTGGGCACTCCTGTCTGCTGGGACCGAGGATGCTCATTGCAGCAGCAGCTCGGCCGCAAGGCGCCGATCGATGAGTTTGCACTTAATTCTCTTTCCTCTTCAGACGCGAGGACAATTTAAATTGAAATGTCACCTAGATTATTCAAATTTGATGTAATCTGCTTCCAGATGTCAGGCCTGCATTGACGATAATCTTTTTTCCCCCATGAGCTAATTTGCTTATTCCTAAAGGAAGCGATGCAAGGTCTGGTTAACATGACTCTGCAGAGGCTGTGCTGGGATTTGGGCAAACAGGGTTTATCACTGGGGCTGGCAGCTCCTCCCCAGCCTTCTCTGTTAAAAAAAAAACTCTTTCAGAGGCATTGGCAGCAGGGATTTCCACGTCTCAGTGGAAAGGCTTCCTGCAGAAGATTTGTAGGTTTAGAGAGGAAAAAGGAATCCTATTGAATTTTTTCATTTGTGTGGCTGCTGAGGAGTTCCATTGCATTATTCATCCTGGGAACTGGGTAAACCAGGAAAGTTAAAGAGTGAAATTGCTGCTGTAAGTCGAGGTGTTTTAACATGCAAATGACAGTTTTTTACTCCTAACAATAGAACTGTTGGATTTTTAATTTTACACCCTATGTGCTCAGCTCACTGTGCAGACACAGGAGTCCAACAGCTCTGATTGTCATCTTCCCTATTTCCTTTGCTGTCGAGCAGCTCTCAGATCCATGGTGATTTTATGGGCCTGCCCTTTTCTGATGCATCTGTTGGAGCAGGGGAAAGGATCCAGACACCCAGGGAGTCACTTCTTGGCCCAAGTGCTGATGTCTTTGATACAAAAACCACAGAATGGCAATTTCCCCACTTGGAGATTTCACTGTGGGGTTTTCAATCGCAGATTTTTTTTTCACAATCTGTGAAATATCCTGTGTCAACTGCTCAGGATAAAGGCGTCAGTGACCCATGGGACAGACAGTGTCATGTGTGAGCTGCCCTGCCCGCGTGGCTCTGGGGGAGGTGACAGCCAGGTGTCCTGGCCACACTCACCAGAGGTGTCTGTTGGTATGTCTGATATCCAGCTGGAACAGCGAGCTGCTTGTGCAAGGGCAAAGGCATTTCGGAAGTTAAAAGGTACACATTGACCCCACTGCTTGTCATTGTGAGACTCTGGAGCTCTAAAAATAGAGCGTCTCTGACCGAGGAGAGATATTTTTGGAAAAGCTCGTTACTGCAGCCGATCCGTGCCGTTACTGCAGCCCCTGCTCCAGCCTTCCCCTTGTTTCCTTCTGCACATAAATCTTGTCAAGTGCCAAGAAAGAGAGGGGGTGTGCCCTTGCAGGGTGGCACCCCTGGATGATGAACCCTCCCACTCCTGAGCTGGGGTCCCAGTCCCACCTGATGGGATGTGCAGCCTGTTTGCCAGCTTTACTCGCTCCCCAGGCCGTCAGGTGTGACTGGGGGAGCAAGCTAACGAGGTGCTTGCAATCAGGTAGTCGGGGTTGAAGCAGGGGAGTGTCAGGAGATGCAATTAGTCATTGCTGCACCACAGGGAATCCTGATTTGAACCATTAGAAATGGTTGTGCACGTGCTGAACTGAAGGGAATACCCCTGGCAGGTTATTTACCAAAATCACTGCTCCAATCAGGATTTGAGAGGGATTCCAGCTGTAGAGGAGTGGGAAGAAGTGATGATCTCCAGCTGGAAATCTGCTCCACAGGAGCAGGAGTAAGAGGTGTATTTGTCTTTTTGCAAATGATGAGAGAAAAATCTACTCTTTGGTCTTGGCTGCCAGCAGAGAGCTCCATGATCATGATGGAAACTGTCTCAGACGGCTCTTACGAGCATTGAAATTAATACCCTTCCTCATTGGAAGTGGCACCTCCAACTACTCCCTGAAAGGTGAACATTAATATTCTGATTTTCAGTCGTTAGACACGTGCTTTGGCCTCAGAGCTGAAGAGATGGGGGATGAGGGAGGAAAACACAGCTCTGAGGTTGGGTACCCCAGTTCCATCCCCACAGCATCAGTGGAGGAGCCACCTCTGACCCTGTTGGAAAGCTTCTGCCATGATGCTCCTATATCACTTTGCCATCTTGGAGTCTTTCCAATGTGAGTAAAACAGAGAGGAACCTTCCTGAGTGCAGCCTTGTTATCTGTGGCATTTCAGGGTAATTTATGCCCAACATCTCACTGACTCTGGTAGGAAATTGTGTTGTTGGTTCCACGGCTCCTGCAGGAGCTGTGTCAGAAATATTGAAATAAATCGATCCAGCTTGGGGTTCCTGCCTGGTTTTATTGCTGATTTATCAATGCAGGTGAGGCACAGCATGAGTTACGCTGGCACAAGGAGGAGGGAGGTGAGGATGTGGTGGCCTGGCTGCCCACACTGTCACCGAGAAAGGGTTTGGTGTCTCAGCAATCCCCACTGCCCCCATGAGGGATCCAGCTGAATTCTCTGTGCCTCAAGTTTTCCTTCTTTTGCTTTTTAATCCTCTCCTAATTGGGGAGCCAGCAAAAGCTTAAAAAAAAAAAAAAAAAAAAAAAAGGAAAACAAACAAAATTAATGAGCAACATCAGGGGAGGAAAAAAGCCTTTTCTGGCCAGAGTCCTTGGCACGGGCAGGAATTCACCGCTTCTCTTGGAGAGTGTTAAACTGTCTGTGAGCTGCCAGGGGAGGAAGTCAAGTGAGAACCAAGTGCCTGGAAGCAAAGTTTGCCACAGCCGCCCTCTGCTCGGCCCCTGGAGCACCGCGGCCCCTGCCACAGGTCCTCGATGCTTTGTGCCCAAACTAAATAGCTTTTGGATCTGCAACTCATTTGTCAGTGAGAGCAAACAAGCTGTTGCTGGGACTGACAGTGTCCTTCCAGCTGCTTGAGCTCACAGGCATTCCCAGATGAGGATGAGTGCTGGCCCTGTGGCCAGCAGCAACAGTTAAACCTTCCCTAGAGACCCATCTGGAGCTGGCCCTTGGGTTACAGCAGCTGAGCATGCCCTGGCCAGCTGCTGTGCCCCAGGCAGCAGATCCAGAAATGCCCTGGAGCATCCCACATTCTCTCCCTGTTCCCTGGAAGCCGTGCTGCCAGGGGCTGGTCAGTGCCAATGTTTGCCAGCACCGAGACCAGGGCTGCTGGTGTCACAAAAGGCTGGCACACTGAGCCACAGACCTGTGGGAGAAGGTTCACTCGAGTGGGATCAGGATGTCTGTTGAATCCTGGAGTTTCTCAGTTTCTCTGGAGCACCAGCTTTGCTCAAAGCAAACACTGGCATGTGCTCACATGGGTGAGGAGGCTGGGATGGAAATGGTAAATTCCTGTTCATGTTTATATAGAGCAGCTCCTGGTATAAACGTCCCTCTCTTCTGTTTCCTTTCTCAAAATCTGGGGCTCCATTTTCTTGTGTTTGACTCTTTCTGGGCAGTGACTATTTTGGGATTGAATTTTGGCTTGTTCTCACTTTGGGGTGCTTTGGCAGGTTGGCATCTCTTGCTGATGGGGAACTGGTCAATCCATACACCCAGTCTTGCCCAGTGCTCCTTGTGCACATGTGCTCTTCCTCTCTTTCTCCATGGGCCACCCCAGCCTTCCAGAGGCATCAGCAATTCATTCCTAGCCCATGGGCAGGGGTGTCATTGCTTCTTTAGCAAAGTTCCTTTTCAGCAGAACCTTCAGGAATTGCCACAAAGTTTTAGGTAGGGAGAACAGAGTTTTCTTGCTTCAGCATGAAGTGAGGAACCCACATGGAGACATTTAATGCCTCGCAGGGATTATTAGATACAAAATGCATTGGAATGAAAGCATGCCGTAAATCCCAGCGTTTCCATAAACTCTAAATCTGTTACACGTTAGACCGTAATCTTCTGAAACAAAAGTGACTGCACCAAATAGAGAGTGTTATTGTTTAAATATTTCTGCTGGGAAATGCTGCCTGAAGAGCAGACACAATAGCTGCCCTGATGCAGGATTTATTGGAGCAACTTGGCACCAGGCTGTTTGTAGGGAGCAGAATATGCTTGTAGAGATTATACCAGATTTACAGTGATTAATAATGGATTGGACACGGCAGACTTCAAAGGGTTCGGCTCCCGCGCAGTTTGGTGTGGGTTGAGTCACAGGAACGTTTGTTCCCGTGGGTCAAACAGCCGCCTTCCCTCAAAGAGCAGGGATTTGGGCTGGGCAGCATCAGCCAAGCCTCCCTCTTCATCCCCTCGTCCCAGTGGCTTTGCCCAAGCAGCAGGATGGAGGTGGTGGCATGGCAATGTTACACCTGGCATGTGTGTGGAGACCAGCCCAGCTCCAGAGAGCTGAGAGCTCCAGAGAGGGCTGGTCCACCCAGCTCCAGCACCCCAGGTATGCCCTGCTTGGGGTACCCTGTGAGGCCCCCAAACCCATGACTAACTGGGAATCGTGGTGCCCTGAATTACAGGAAGGTTCCTCTCCAGCTCAGAGCCAGGAGCTCACCTGCCCGGAGGATGAGCAGGGATTTTGTCATCAGGCAGAGGGATTAAGAGAGCTGGGAAATGTAGGACATCTCTCTCGCTGTACACACAGGCCTCGAGCTATTTTTAAAGACCTTTCAGCACCCACTGTGGCCATTACTTTTAGTATGAAACATTAGAAATCTTCTCCTTGCAGCAGGAACTCCCACTTGGTCCAGGGGCTCCCAGCCATGCTGAGGATGGCACCACAAAGAGAGCAAGGCTCTGAGAACTGATCACAGAGGTGTTAATTGTGTGTTGGTATATTCATGCTCTCTGCCAGGCAGGTCAGTAGCCCCTGCGAGCACACCCTGCCCACCTACATCACTTCTCCCCCCTCCCTGCCTGCTCGAGCTGTTGGAGCTTTTCCTGTGAACAAAGGATCCTTCAGACACGCTGGGAAAAGGCCAGGGATCCTCAGACAGATGTATTCCATAAGCGGTAAGTGCTCTGGCGTTAATCAAAGGTTATTGTGTGTGAGGGTTGCGAGGCTTCTCCAACTAATGAAGATGTTCCCCCTGTATCTGCCGCTATCTGGGAGGCTGGAAGAGCTGCAGAGGCTCCATCCTGCTCCAGGCAGGGCTGATGGGATTTGTGCTGGTCCCAGTTGCCATGGAGAAAGTGTTGGATGGCTTTAATACATCTCTGTGAATTTCTCCCCAGAGTTTTCCCATGACAAGCTGGACTGGAAGTAGTGTATAAGAAGCTCTAATCTTCCAAAGGTATGAAAAAATGATTGATGAGGGGCAAGGGGCATAAACAGCTTACAGAGCTCGGGCAGCACGTGGGGCAGGGCAGGGGGTGCCAGGAGGGACCAGCCGTGGTCCAGGGGTTCTCTGACAGATGCTTCACTCACAGCCCTGAGCTCTCCCCAGCCCTGCTCGCCATCCAAATCCAGATATCACCCATCTGCAGTGAGATGGGATAGCAACTGCCAGGCATCCCCACACAGGACTGGGCTCAGATTCCCTTCTCATCAGTGCTCCAGACGTGTCTCCTGTTACCCCTGCTCTGGCCATGGAGCTCCCACCTCTCATTGAAGTCCCTTCATTAGGGATTAAAGGAAATTAAACCTTATCTATTTTGTCATAATTTCAAAATCCCATTGTTTATATTTTCCTGTTTGCTTTTCAAGTTGCTGAAAATATGAACTATTCCAAAAAGCAAAGGAAAAAAAATCCCCAGCTCAGTGTGTTAAGCAGCCACTCTCTCACCTGTACAGGTAGTTTGAATTCCCCCCTCGATTCATCATCCTGCCCAGCCTTTAACTAAGAGGTCATTGGACATGGACCATGATGGGATCAGCTAAACCCAAGCTGGAGGTTCTCAGGGAGAAAGGAGTTGTCAGAGAGCTTAGGAACAGCAGGTACAGAGTGTCAAAATCTACTGAGGCATCTGGAGTCCTCAGGAAAAAGCCCTGGCTGATGGGTTTGGGAGCGGGCAATCCTTTCTGCCGGCTCCCTCCTCTGCCTTTTTGTTTTTTGAGTTTATTATTTTTACCCTGGGCTTGCTTCTGGCTGCTTTAGATTCCCTAAAGATTTCTTCTTGGGCAGCTCACAGGCTCTTGAAATGTGAAGTCCATCGATTACCAGCTGATGTCCCTCTGCCACTGTCCCTGAGCAGCCTCCACCACAGCTGGGCACAGCAGTGCAAGGGGCTGCATTTGGTGGGCAGCTGCTGCCAAAGCCAAAAACAGGCTCCTTGTTCTCTCCTTCCTTCATTTCCTAGGGCTTTTGGTGAAATCCCTGCAAACACAGTCACTTGCTGGAGCACTCAGCACAGAGGAGATTTCCCATGGAGTGCTGTCGAGAGGAGATGCTCTGTGTGAAGTGTGTGCTTCAGTTGATACGCCAGGGCTAAAACATAATTAATTAGCAAGTTTATGGTCTTTTCCCATCTGAAATTTAAAAAAATAAAAATTATGCAGAACATCCAAGGTAATTAGGAAGCTGCAAGCTACAACACACCTTTAAATGGGAGCTCTGGAAAACATGATGTTAGGCAGCAGATTTTTAATGGAACAGCTGATCAAGGCTCCTGCCTTCACCTGTGTTCCTGGGAGTGCTCCCCACACTTCCCCCTTCCCTTATGGATCTGGCTTGGACCACAGCAACTCCCAGATGTTCTGTTCTCCATGATCAGATTTCCCATCTAAAGTCTGTTGGCCAAGATGAGAATATTGGTCCCTGTTTTATGTGCTGACTTTACTTGGAGTTTTTTCCCCTGGCATTTTCAGCTGGCCCCACCCCCTGATGCTTTGGCTGTGCAGGATGTTCCACCAATTTATTCTAGCAGAGAGCGCGGAGCAGGTCACGCATATTAAATGTGAAGTTTTTGCTACAGTTGCTTCAATAATCTGAAAGAAAAACATTTTAATGTGGGTTTTTTTCCTTGTTCTTTACCGTGTACCAGCTGCTGCTTTTGGCAGGGCAGCTGCTCGGCGGGCGGCCGGCGGTGCGGATGCGCTTCCCGGGGAGCGATGCCCAGTGTGCCAAGGGCATCCCCTCCCTGCCATGGTGGGGAACAGCTGAGATGCCTGTGAACATCCCACTTTTCATCCCTCTCCCTTGGCACTAAAAGCTGAAAATTGAGGCTTTATGCTATTTTTGTTTTCAGCCAGGTCTGCAGTGCCAGCAGCACTGCCCAATGTGCTGTTTCCCTCTTTGCTACCCTCTCCCAAACCCACCCACATGAAGACTGGAGAACTTCTCCCATGGTTTTGTGCCTTTGGTGTGTATTTCCAAAGGGTCCTCAATTCTCCAAGGGAGGGAAAGGCTGCTTTGTGGAGCTGTGACTGAAGGAGCAGCTTTCTGGCCAGCTGGGTGATAGGTTGGGATGGCCAGACTCTGCCCCGCAGCCCTGGGATGGCCAATGGCTATTAATCCAATCAGTTAAATTATTTTAGAGAAAAAGTGTTCTTTTTTCCACATTTCTTGATGAGCTTTCTATTTCCAGCAATTTTTCAGCAATTTCCAGTGGGTAAGTTGAATGCAGAGCCCCTTGCAGAGCAAGGAGGGGATTGATGTGGGAAATGATGACAAAAGAACCACCAGGGATGGCAGAAAAATCATCCTTGCAAAAATGCCGACATCAGCCCTGGCAGCAAAAGGAGAAGAACAACAGTTTGAGAAGGAGGAAAATGTACTAGCCTCTGTGGGAATGGTGCCTGCATGAGAAATAACACCCCAAAAGATCATATATGGGGGTGTCAGAGGTGGGGACTCTGCTTTATCAGCATCACTGGGCAGTGCCTGATCATGTTTATGCTGCTGCTTCTACAGTTTTCTCCTTATTTTCTGTATTTCTGTATTTCTTTGCTTTCTCCTGTGGTTTCTCTTTTGCCCCTGTCTCCTGCTGCTGTCACCTGTCTTCTCCTCAGATTTTAGGCTGCTCTCTCTCCGACAGAACGTGGTGGAGAAGCTGCTGGGGCCAGCGGGTGCAGAGTGGGCACTGCTGGCATGAGGGCCTGCATGCTGCTAGTTTGGCTTGGTGCCTGAAATCGATATGATCTTGCTTGGGGTAATTGTTTTGTGTCTCTGGAACAGTTTATTTGGTTTCTAAAGTGCTCACTTTATAGAGTTATTTCTCAAGCCTTGTCCGAGCCCCTTGTCACGTCGGTACTAAGTGAGTTTCAGGGCTATTTGCTAGTCAGCTTTGTCATTTCTATTTTATTTTTTGGTTTGCTCTCTACGTACACTGAAGTGTAATTGTGTTTGGTCTTGCTGACTTGAGCGTGAAGAGAAACACAGTGCTGTCTTCTGAAACCCCCTGCAAAGCTTTCACCTCCCTGGCAGCCCCCTGAGCTTTGTGGGGTCTGCCTTTCACCCCCCCGAGTCCTTCTCCCCCGGTTCCCCTTTGTCAGGCTTGGGCAGGGACACCGTGGGGTGTGGGGGTGTGAGGGTGCAAGGATTCAGGGATGTAGGGATGTGGAGATGCTGTGCCCCACGGCCACACCAGTCCTGCTCTGCCCTCAGCACCTGGAAAACAAGCAGAGAATTAAAGGACTGCCCACGGGTGCGGGGGAGGGAAGAGAAAGCCTGATCTTTCCAGATGACATTTACGCCTGCAGAAGGCCGATGTATTTTATCCACTGTCACATTTAAAAGGCACTGAATTCATTATACTGTTGAATAAATCATTATTTAAAAAAACGTATTTATCCAGAGAAGAGCCACAGCCTTTCAGTCAAGAGCTACTCCTGCTCGGTTCAGCTCTTCCACCAGTGACAGCAGTGGTAGCAGTGGGTCCCACACTGCCCTGTGCATGGAGACAAAGATCCAGGCTTTGCTTGGGGGAGCAGCTGAGGGCTGACAGCATGCTGAAGTGCTCGCATGCCTCTGTCACAAAGGGTTAAAGTTGTTGAGCTGAAGCTTGGTAAATCAGGCAAGAAAATAATCAGCTCCCAGGTGAAGTGAGGAGATGCTTGATGTTTTACAGCTTCTTTCATACACTTTACAGAAACTAATGGTTACACAAATAATACCTGGGGGATGATAACAACCTATAAATAATTCAGGGTTCTCCAGCACAGAGCTGCCGTGTGCAGGTGTGAGGAGCACACGGAGCCTTGGGATGACTCAGGTCCTGGGAGACTGCTGCCCTTCCACCATCCTGCAGCTCTCCTAGCAGTGTCCCTGTCCTTTTCCCAGCCTTTCTGGCTCTGCTTTCTCCCCTTGCACCCAGATCACCCACTGCCCTGACTGCTGCAGGAGATATCGGCAGCGCCCTTTGCCAGTGGTGCTGGGAGAAGCCAGAGGTTTTCCATGGGTGCTGGGCCCACACAACCAACCAGCCGAGCCCATCACCCTCCAAAGAGCTGTGCATAAACTGCTCTGCCCCAAAGCTGGTGTCTAGATCCAAACTGAGCACCTTGGAGAGCAGCCGTCCCTGGCTGGCTGTGGGTCACACCAGGCTCTGCCCGCCTCTGCCAGCACTTTCCACAAACATTGGAGGTTTTTTTGAGAGCTGTTTGTGTGGAATTCCCCATCCTCGGATGGAGAGATTTCAGTTTCTCTGCCGCTAAATATTTTGACAGCCTCTTGTCTCGCAGCCTAGCACAGTGTGACATGTTGTACGGTAACAGTCCCCTCGGCTCGCCGCCGCGGCACACCATGTGCTTCGTGCCAGCACACCGCGTGCTCCCCGTGCCCAAACGGGCTCCATCGGGCAGCCACAGCCCTCCCAGGGGGAATCATTCCCAGCTCGAACCCCGGAGATGGGAAAGAGGGCAAGGGAAGAAGGCACTCTGCCACAGCTGCCTCAAAGCAGGAGATGGATGGCTGCCGAGGCGGGCTCAGCCTCCTTTATCCCAAAGGATTCCCCACAGCCAGGTCCCTCCCAGCTGCACGTCTGCCTGTCTTATCAGTCATGAGCGTGTTGCTTTTAATGAGGAAACAACCGGGAAAGTTGGTGGCAGGACCCACAGCTCAATAAAGCAGGAGAACAAAAACCTCCACTGCAATTTGGAATTGAGCTTTCTCTCCCAGCCCACGTGGCAGGGAGGAATTGATCTGTCTAATCTCTTATCTGTGACTATGAAATTGTATTTCCCTCTTAATAGCCCTACAAATGTTACAGATGGGTAGTTTGGAAGACAGGCTGCCAGTGGTAGGAATACTAAAAAGGATGTTGAGTTTTGCTTGCTTTGGGGTGCAGAAACCAGCATGAAATGCCAGGATCCATGTTGGCCTTGGCCCCACTCCTCAGGGACCCAGCTCAAACACAGACATTTGCACCCTATTCCTCCTTTAGCTCG